ACTTGGTTTCTTTTCTGGCAAACCTTACTGAAATGACCGCGTTTGTGGCAATAGTGGCACTCAGCACCACTGGCAGGGCACTTTTTGTCGCTTGTGTGTGGCTCGCTGCCGTATCGATTGCAAATTTTGTCGTGTCTTTGTTTACGGTTGGCTTTGTTGTCTCTTTGACTTCTCTGCCTAATCTTAGCATTCCCTCTGGGTCGGTGTAGTGAGTTGACCTGCATGTCTGTTTCGTTTGACATCGCTTGTAGTTGTAGCTTCGTAGCTTCATCAGTACGAGCGATTTCTCTGGCTTTCTTGAGCGTGAGATCATTTCCTTCGGCGATACATTTCTTTCGCACGTTGTCAGAATCAGCGCCGAATACGAGGGCGTCTCGCAGCAATTTGTCGTGGAGTTCGGACGAATAGCCACTGTTTTGGATAAGCAGCTTAGCTTCTGTCAAGAAATCATCGAGGGGTCGTCCGTTTTGTCTCAGGTCTCGAAGATAGAAGCGGTTAAGGATTCGATTTGACTGTGGTTTTACGTGTTCCTCGAATCGCTTCCAATATTCATCGAACTTTTTTGCGGCTTCTTGGCTTAAATTCCATGTGTTGAATAGGTCGAGACCATAATCTCCGGTCCAAAGCAGTACGTATCTACATCTTTGTTCGGTTGAACGGGCTTTAAGTGGGCCATCAAATAACAACTCTCATTTCTGTCGAGAGCGCTATAGTCGTTGTGGTAAGTCGGGTCCGTGAGTCCAGTCTATTTTCGTCGTTTCGAAACCAACTAGGTCGCTCCTTTCTTGTCCTTAGATGCTAGTCTTGAGTTTATCTTCGATTCTAGTGGAGTTTTCGAGCTTTTAGTCTCAAATCCCGCACCTGACAACCATGTAAAGTGTTGTGCTGTTTTAACTGAACCATTTATTTAGGACCATAGTAACACATACAGCAAAACGGCGGGAAAGATACTGCACGTGACAATTCACGTTATGTAAACAACGCGTGACCAGGAAATTCTTCCATTATGTAATCGCACAATCAGATACTGTTACAAAGGATACAATGACCGACTGACCTTAACTGCCTTATAGTGAAAATAAATACGAGTCATTGAGCGATTATAATCAACATGAAACTACAAACTATTTTGAGGCGACAGACAATCAACGAACCTAATAACTACTAAAACGATAACAACAACTACTACGTACCTCTATCCCGACTCTGGGTGAACAACGTTGAAGGTAAAAGAAATCTTACAAAATAACCTAGTGCGAACATAAAGCTCGAGCACTGCTCGCACCGACTATGCTTTTTTCTACTCTTGACTGCGCACGCACAGTGACGTCACACGTAACGCAGTGGTAACGCTTACAGTTACACTAAATATATGTTTTGATTTCAGTTGACGTGTGTTGGCTTTTCGTCAGCGATGATATAACAAGATCGCAATAGACAAGGGAAGAAGGATCAGGTTATTAAAATGAATGGCTCTCAAAAGTTCTCTCGTATAATTTTCTATTCAAGTGCCTCCCTCCCCTCCCCCAAGGGTAATTTCACATCTATTACTCTTGTTGCTTAGATGCTTTGGTAAACAGAATAGCCACCACACGTAGGTCCAGGATGGAGTGTTAGTAGATAGCTCTGGTCGATCAGTTAGATCCCTTAACATCTTGGAAAACGAGGGCTATAGACACTAATGACTCTTGAGTCGCTTCCTCGATGTTGCTTTTTTCATGTATCTCCGTTGGCGCTAGAATCTAGGTAGTTTCTAAGAGGTGAAGGTTAGAACTTCGTTGAAGCCTTAAATGATTTTGAGAATATTCTTTTTCTGCAATTTGTTCCTCTACAGTTCACCCGTGAATATCATCCGTTGTCCATTCCATCTAATTATAGCCTTACAGCAGTATACTTCAAAATATGGGCCATATTAATGTTCCAGTATCCTTGTTGGATTCTCACTTGAATGAATTAACTTCTGAAATACTTAAACGCACCTTTGACTAGCAGTCGCGGCTGGCGTTTGCATATTGAGACTGGTCTTCTTCCCCAACACGCAGACGTGACCTTTCATATAAGTCAGGTGATTATGGATTACTGTAACAAGAGGTAAAACTAAAAAGTCAGTGGTTACTTGAAAATGTCTCTGACTTAAGCTTTGCACCGCAGTCTCCAACTGTGCTACCTTTTGTATCCCAGAATATATCGGCATCTAAGCTCTCTATAACCATAAGCAATTGATTGATACCTTGTAAAACATACAGTTGATAGGAATGAAGAGGAATTAAACCAGCAGATGCAGTGTTTCGATATCATATCAAGGAATGTCTGGTCCCAAATGAAGAGGATGAACTTTTAAATCTTAGAAGTAAAGAGGTATTTTGAAAACGCAAACATCTGATGTGCTACTGAGATTATTTTTTTTCACGGCTAAAGAATATAGCTTCCCATGAAACCACTTGGCAGTAGTGACATTTGATCGAGAGAAATTTAAAGAAGTGCTTGATATGCTAACATCCCTTTTTGTCTGGAACCATGATGACAATTTTATGAAGAATAGAAGTTGGCCGTCCGCATATCCATTTCATTTTCTTCGCATATACAAAGAGGCGTGAAAGTTATAACCAAGGGAAACGCATGAATGAACACAACTTCAAAAACCCGAAAATGTATATTGAAAAGAGTTTTGATTAACGAGTATAGCTTAGAGCTTCTGATACATCTTTGGGTTGATGTGTGAATAATTCATCCTAAAATGTCTCTCCCGTATTGCCTCGCTGCTCTTTTGTATGTCTCTGTATCACCTCTGTTTGTGATGAATCCGTAACAAAGCTTCTCACGTCAGAACTGTTAGCATTTGAGTCGCCTGTTGTCGGCAGAACCATCATTTGATTGGCCTCAGCTGAAAGATTAATGGCGCGGAGGAGTCATCGCTATTGCAATTTACATAGTTATTGGAACACATTGTTCGAAGTTAGAGTTGTGTCAATTTCATCTATTTCACGGAAAGAAATATTACTTATTTTTAAACAGTAGATGTCGTCCCTTGCATTAAAAGGCATGCAAAAAACCATGGGTCACCTTGATGACAGAACAAGTGCTAACCTGCTGTTTCTGAATCAGGCATAAAGGAACCTCCTGCACTTGAGTCTGCAAGAGCTATGAAATCATCACTCTCAAGACAAATCGATTCTGATCTCCATCTGTGGATCAAACGAAGTTTGACAACTGTGCCTGCTTTTGCCAAGCTGCGCAATTTAAGGTGACTTGATGCAATCTTCTCTCTTCCTAGGTCCACTCCCTCTCCGCCCAATTCCTGCATTACATACTCTAAGGCTTTGCGTATATTTTCCTTCTGCGTTGCATAAAGAGTCACACGAATGCTTCCACCAATACCATACTCTCTTTTGACAACAACGGGCAGAGAGGCCATTGGAAGGTTGTCGATAACTTCGGTGGCGGGTGCTGGTAGTGTGATCTCTGATTCAAATGCTCCTATTCGGCGAAGCTTTCCATCAATGTGAACATACGCAATTGCTTCCAGTTGTAATTCCTCGTCGGACTCTTTGCTGATCCAAAAAAGCTGTGAAAAGATTTCTTTTGACTTGTCGTACCTCAACACATCGTCACCTTGAATACCTGCTGAACTACTTGGGTCCTTCAGTTCAAATCTCAAGAATCGTGTCGGATCAAATTTGGCAAAAGCTATTAGGCCCAAAGCAACGTTGTGGAAGTCACTAAGGAACGCTTCCTCATAGTCCTGTCGGTCGGACATGATGCTTTTCAAGTGAATCGAGAAGATGCGCAATCTTTCTTGCAACCTTAAAGCATCAGAACCGGCTGTTTCAAAATGTTTCTCCAAAAATTCCAACATTCTGATAATCATAACAGATTTGCCCCAATTGCTTATCTCGTTTTCTGTGATTTGAGATTGGTCTTCATTATTGCTGCGGCATAAACATTCAAGAATAGTGCTTACTGCTGTAAAAAGCCTGAGTATGTGTTTTTTTTCTACAGCATCTTGAATTTCTGAATTGATTTTTGTGAGAGTTACATCTTCGGAGATTCCTATCATTCCATTCTGGATCTGTGGTATATTTTCATCTTTGAAGATTTCTTTGACGGCTTGAATTAAATGTGGGATAATAGGTAGGAAATGTCTTGGCATGCGAATTTTCCTATATTGGCTGGAAACCTCTTTGGAAATTCTATCGTGGGTCGCAAGGATTTCTGAGTGGTTTTCCGTTGAAGCTGCAAACTCCAGATCTCCCTTAGAATTTGCCATTTCAATACAACAGTCACGAAAAACGGATCCGCAGAGATACTTGATCTCCTTGATCAAGTATATCTCCATGTCAACATCATTGTGTTCCAAACGATCAATCCTGGTGGCCAGTTCTCTCAAATGTCTGATGTGCATTTGTCCCCTTTCTTTCACTTTGTATGCTAGAGATTCAATCAAAAGGTACAATTGTGGTCATTGTGGGTTTGATGAAGTCAAGAAAAGGTCTTTTGGGGTTACAAAACGACTTGATCAACTAACTAGGTACGAATCATCCTAGCCTAGAACAAAACGACTGGGTATGAAATGATCGTGGATACCAAACGACTGGTAACCAGGAAAACGAGACCGCTATGCACATAGAGTGCAATTTTCTGATCAAATTTTAGAATTAGGGGATCCGAAGGGCAAAGATGCTTTAGAAAAAACATAATTTACGTCTTCAATGCTTCAACTATTAATGGATGTACATTCGGAATGGTCAGATGATGGGAATCGCTAATAAACAGAATATTGATCTAAAAAGTCATACTGCCTTAAAATGTCAGTTTTTCGAATTAACTAGTGGTCATATCCTGCAATTTATCGACATCTTACTAACCTTTAGGCTCCAGCTCTCCGAGGGTTTTCCGCAAAAACGCAGGGTCAGCGTCATCCCCTTGCTTCTCACTCCAGTTTTGCAAAATAACTTCCAGCTGTTTCTCCTCGTTTTGCCAGCAAGAGACAACTTGTCTCCTCAATTCCATGGACAACTCAAGTTTTTGGGCAACAGGCTGAAGGTTGTAAATGAGGTTCTCTATTCCTAGAATTTCTTTCACGTAGCCACACAGATCTGTAGAGGGATCACAGAAAGAAAACTCTTCGTGACGTAAAGAAAAAACCAAAATGCGTGGTTGATTAGTTATGATTATTCTCTGGATGCAATAGAATGCTTCTTGAAAGCACTTTAGCAAAACA